CCTACAAAATACACAGCCGCTAGACTCTACAGTGAATCCTGTAACGAGCTTTGAGAGGTCCTCATGATGTGAAAAGTGCTGTATCAAATGCAAACTTTATTATTAATAATTATTATTTGTTTAGTACGAAGCACAGGTTTGATTAGTGAAAAATATTCAGGGTTAGAAATTAGATTGAGAAATCAATGAAGGAACCTTGAGGGAAATTGGATGTGTTGGGTGGATTGACCAAGGGTGCAATCCTGTCTGAAATAATTGCTCACTGTGTTGGTAGTCATTTCCTCCCATAATTGGAAACAGTGGACTTTCTGGGACCGTTTTACGCAGGAATTCAGGATGGTGTTGAGGTAGACGAAAAAAGGGGGGAGCTCGACAGCGAAGTCAGGGGAGGCAAGACCCCAAACTGGGGAAGAGCTGCCGTGATCACAACTGCAGATTGATATTGAGCACAAGCTGACAGGAATGCTGCTTGGGGAACGTTCACTGCAGATTCCATGCTGAGACCAAAGGCTCAGTTGGGCGCTGGACATGCCAATCAAGACTTAGGAATTGGTTCATCTCATCCAACCTTTCAGGCTCTTTCCTCCATAGGAATGGTTTCCTGCTTGTCCTTCATCCCCTCTGCTCCACAATTGGCGGCCACACTTTCAGCCACAATGCCCCAAAGCTTTGGAACTCTCTCCCCCTATCCCTCCGCCTTGCCCCTTCCTTCCCATCTTTCAAATCACAACCGAAGATCTTCCTCTTCGACCATGCTTACAATTTCCTCCTCCCTCCCTGCTCCCAGCTCAGCCTATGTTTAAGTGCTGAGACGCTGCCCTGCATGAAGGGTGCTATATAAATGCACCTTTTGTTGTTGTGGGAATAGACATGGGACAGATGACCTGCACACGGCTGGAGATTGCTAGCTCGAAACTTGCTTGATCATATGACCAATTAATGATGCTCCTCGTGGAGTGGGGAGGGAGGTGGGGTCTCCTGGGAGCTGAGCTGGTTGACAAGTTTGGTGATGGAATGTCGGAATCGAATCAACCCTCTGTGATGGTCTCTAGCCCGGTTTCTGAGCCAGGCAGATCCGTAGTATTACAGGGCACTCCCTGTTGATGACAGCACAGCCCAGCCTGGCTCATCAGCAGGACTCAGAGAGACGTGGTCACTGAGGGACAAGCACTCTTCCCACTCAGTTGATATTAACCCTGAAAGCCAAAGCCCTAACAGGTGTCCCAACCTTCTCAGCTTTGTTGGGCTGTGAAATTGGTTACACCAAATGCCCTTGCTTTAATAGACTAATCATTTGTAAGTTGCTTCAGAGAGGCAAAGAAACCAGGTGAGGAAAGAGCTTATAAATTCGTATTCTCTTTTTTTTTGCCCAGCCGGGTGTCTAGCACAAGCAGAAACCCATCACCGTTGCTTAAGAGCCTCCAAACCAAGATGAGATTTCCATTCATCCCACCTCACATGGAAATCCAGGAGATAGATCGTTGGAATGGAATGTGCTCTCTCTCTCTCTCTCTATGGAGGGATACGTCCTATCCTGTTTACCTAATTCCGGAAAGTATTAGACGCAGGTTGGCAGGAGCCAAAGCTTGGGGACCCCAGAGTGTGTGTTAGGTTAACTGCTGGAGTCTAACCAGCTAAAACTACAGGATTATGGAGAGGGAAAAGGCCAAGTAAATGGGCCTGAAAGGAGAGCCAGCAGAGAGAGGTTGAGCCGAATGGCTTTCATCCCTGTTGTAAATTTCCATAGTTCTACATTCACTCGTTTTAATACCAGTCTCTGTTTAAATGAGGCGTGAACTGAGAAACCAAAGATATGAAAAAAAACAGCTGGCCTTGAAAGCAGACAGACATTCTGCAATGTTTTCAACCCATTTAGCAATGAATTATTGCAATTCAGGGAAAAAGGATAAATCTGGGTAATCCGCCAATGTAGCGCTGTGTGTATGGACAAACGTGCACAGAACAATGAGATGCAGAAATACTGCCCATTAAACCCTACCTGAGCGTATCTGTCACACCCGTAGGAGCAGAGGGAATGGTGGAGAAATAAAACAGAAGGTGTGAGAGAGAGCTGGTGAAATAAAGAATTGAAATAAATCTTGAAAAGGATAATGGGGCTAAGCTGTGACATGTGCCCACCCACCATTGGCAATGATTATTATTATTATTGGTGTGGGAGCTTTCAAGCCTTTCTGCCCCTGCTGTCTGGAACTCCATCCTAGAGTCCCTCTGCCTCACCCCCTGACTCCCCATCTTTGGTGACATTCCCCCCCCCAACCACTGGCTCCTAACCGGCTCTTCGAAATGATTTGAGACATCCTCCTGACTTGAAAGGCACTGTACAAATGTGAAATTGTTGTTGAAAACGAGACTGGTGAAGAAACCTGCATTTCTTATAGCGGCTGAACACCTGGGAACACCTCACCACATTTTTCAGTGCTTTGGCACGTCCTCCCGACGTGAATGGCGCTCCTCCATGGCTGTTTGTGGGACACTGGCGTATGTGCTGTCGCGACATTGTGCTGACACATTTCGCCCACAAAATACCCAGTCACTCCACTCTACAGTGTATCCTGTGAAGCGCTTTGAGACATCTCAATAACACAATTAAGGCGCTGTATCAAATGCAAGAATTATTATTATTATTAAGGTCTCATTGGAAAGATGGCACCTCCGATAATATACTGCTTCCCCCAGTACGGCGGAGCATCAGGCTGCACTGGCAAATCATTTGTCGACCATCTGATCGAGAGGCGAGATTGCTACTGACTGAGCCAAGTAAGCCGTGAAAAAAATAGATGGTGTGCTAAAAGATCAAATGGGTCTTTTGAGTGATGGGTTGAGAGGAATTGTTGCAGATGTGCTAAACACAGGATACCACATGTGCACCAGAACCAGACCACAGTACAACAGAGAGTGGACTCGGCAAAAGCCTACAAGACATGTTATAATAATAATAATCCTTGCATTTGATATAACGCTTTTCACGTCGGGAGGACGTTCCAAAGCGCTTCATAGAACACACTGTAAAGTGAATTGACTGTATATTTGTGGGCGAACGCGGCAGCCAATTGCGCACAGCAATGTCCCACAAACAGTCGTAGATTGAAATGACCAATTTTTATTATTGTTTTTGGTTTTGGAGGGATTATTATTAGGCTCTGTGTGGAGTAAGGAAACTTGCCCAAGGTTTCGCCCTCTGCCTGGAATTGAACTTCTGTCCAGATGGCTTGAGAAACGAGAAGGGGGAACACCACCCTGAGCCCCTGAGCGCAGTGTGTAAGCACGTTTGTCAGGTTCGTGTTGGCCAATGAAATCTAGAAACATTGCAGATCCAAATCAGGAATTTGGAGACACTGTGAAAAATCGAGGATTGCTCTGTAGCGCAACTCAACGTCAGGACACACTCACCAGGAGCTCACGAAAACACCTGTTTACCCAGCAGTAAGTAGGAACCCGGCTGTCAGTCGATTGGCGGATAGATTTCCGGGGGTAATAATCCCTCCCCCAAAAAATGCGGTCACTCAATCCACGACTGTTTGTGGGATTCTGCTGTGTGCAATTAGCTGCCACGTTTTTCCCACAAAACACAATCGACTTTACAATATATAGTATTGTGTTAAGTGTTTTGAGATGTCTTAATGATGTGATAAGGTACTATACTAAATGCAAGGATTATTATTATTAGAAGTGAGCAAGCTTTGTGCTGAGGAATGGTATCAATATGGACTGTACACCGCTATGATTAAAATCTAAATTAAATGATTAGGATCGTGGAATTGTGATTGTGTCTGGACATTGATGGAAAGAAAATCTTGGTTGTTTTATTGTGCACAATTTTTATAGAATGAGAGGATAGAATATAAGGAAGGAATATTTATCACCAATTTACTGGGAGAGGTTGAGAAAGCAAACTGGTAGGAACCTCATGGATGTGAAGTTTTTGTTTAAATCAAAGAGGAAATTTTAGGAGCTGGATTGAAAATTGGCTTCTCACTAAAGAAGAAGTGACCAAAACACCCAACCCAACCCTTAACTTCCCCAAGTCCTCAGTCAGGCACCAAACTGCAATCCTCCTCCCGACGTGAAAGTCGCTATACAAATGTAATCTTGTTGTTGTTGTAGTTCCCAATTTAAAATTTTCCTCCAATCTGGCCTGTCAACACTTTCCTCTTCAAATGTGCTTTCAACCCCCCCCCCCACCCCCCACCCCATCCTCCAACTCCCTTGATTCCAATCCCCAGCTCGGGTGCAGACCCTTAACTGTCCAGCTCCTTGGAACTTCCTTCTGACATGAAAGGCACAAGATAAATGTAATGTTGTTGTTGTAATAGTTCATGGGAACAATCACTTGTCGGTTTTGTTCCTCATCAAACTGATTTCTGGAGGATAAGTCGAGGTCCTGTCTGCCAGTGCAGGAAAGCTGATCACCCCTGTATTTGGCACAATACCTATAACTTCAAAATGTCTCCTAGTGTTTGAGTTTTCAGTAGTGCAGTGACTGTGCATTTGTAGGCAAACAGGACAACAACACGTCGGGAGGACGTCCCAGGGGACTGAACAGTCAGGGATCATGAGGTGGGGGCAGGGTTGGGATGAGGTTGGGCAGAGGGGTTAGGAGGGCGGCTGAAGGCACGGTTGAAAAGGAGGATCTTCAAGTTGTCCCTTGAAAGAGGCAAGAGAGGGAGCAAGGCAAAGGATTGTGGGGTAGAGTTCCAAAGGATGGGGCCAGAGACGAGGACAGTGGAGTCCTGTAGCTCAGTGGTTAGAGCACTCGCTTTGCAAGCGAGAAACCTGAGTTCAATTCCAGGCAGGGACACTGTTGTGCGCAATTGGCTGCCGCGTTTGCCCGCAAATATACAGTCAATTCACTTTACAGTGTGGTCTGTGAAGCGCATGTCCTCCCGACGTGAAAAGTGCTATATCAAATGCAAGGATTATTATTATATTATTAGTTAGAGCAACGCAGTCTTTATACAACTTATACAAATGGAAGCACACACTCTTTAAAATCTTTATTTTGATGTATTATAATATTTGGACAGAATGTTTGGCAGTTATAATTGTATATATATATTTTTAAACTGGATGAATAAGCCAGTCATCCATACTCGCACATCCCCTCCCCATATTAATGATTCTCTGATTCTTTAGAATATATTTCAGCTCTGAGTGAGAGCATATGTAAGCACTAATACAGAATCACGATACAGTACTATTTTACTACACAAGGTACATTCGAAGAGAGATTTGGTAGTCAGACACCTGGGCATCAACTGCTGCAACTGAGTCAAATATCCTGGACATTGGAAGTTACAAGAGAGTCGCAGATTACTGAGACAGAAGCGACCGCCCCCCCCACACACCTTCCTCTCCACCATTAAATACAGTAGGAGGGGGGAGGTGGAGAAACAATGTTTAAAGGGAATCACAAACACTTTTGGGGATGTGTTGGAGCCTTACAACCATACAGTACAGCAGCTCACATAGGGAGCGCAGGGGAAGAGACAGGAAGCAGAAGTGGGGGGTTGGGGTTGCTGGGGGAGCGAAGAGGAACGAGTTCAAGCTTATCCCACCTCCAGCATCTTAATTTGAACTGCAATGCTGTGTGCGCGTGTGAAGAGGGGGGGGACAGGTAGGGTAAAGCGAGAGAAAGAGAGAGATGTCGATTCCAAAGGACCCGTAGTCAGTTTAATGGCTAACTCAGAGATACTTTGGGTAAGAGTCTCAGTTAAGTAAATCGCCTCACTTAAAGAGCGTATTAATCAGACTTCAGAAATCTTCACAATGCATTTATTTTTTTACTGCACGTTCCATTTATTATTAGATACAAACGCACTCAGTTTAAGTTCCGAGGCAGAAGGAAAACTGCTGCTCCCTTCTCTCACCAAGATGGGACATCAGCACTGGGCACAATGTAAGGTAGAGGAGGTGAAAGCAGCTCATTAATGCGCACAAACTCACACACCTCTCCTTCCTTTCCTGCCTCCCCACACCACACACATACACACACACAGTCTGACTGATAAACCACAAGCACCACTGGCCTAACAGAAACAACTCTATTCTGACTGAGGACCACAATGGTAATAACACAAACGCACCTTCCTCTCTCCTTCCTTTCCTGCCACCCCAAACACATCCCTCACCCCACCCCCACTCTCTCCGAGACACCATCACCGCTCTAACCAAAACTCAATTATGAACAAGATTAAAACTAAGATTAAAAATTAAAATCTTAGAGAGACTCAAGTAGGTGAAAGGATTCTCTCAGCCAGTCAACGGGGAGTCAAACTAAACAGTGCAATACTGCGGCGTTACAATATTTTATAACAATTTTTTTTAAAAACTCAGCTTAGGACAGACAGACAGACAGACAGAGGTGGCTCCCCACAACCCCAAGTTCTAAACTTAAAATAATTATTTTAGTTTCAAGCTTCAGCTATTAATTTTTTTTGCTATTCTCTCTGAGACAGTGATGCGTCGTGTGCTTTTGATTGAAGCTGGATTCTTTTCCTTCCCCCCATCCCACATCACCCCACCACCCATCCGGGTAAGACTGTCAGGACAAGAGTATATTCCTGTATACTATACACTGTACACTCCCTCTGACTGGGACAAGTATTCACAGATATCTGTGAAAGCAGGTGTGAGAGAGAGAATCTCTGATGGGAAACACACACTGCGACCTGGCACCTCAGAAGTTAACAGGTCGCTTCACTTAAAGAGCGTATTAATCATACTTTAGAAGTCTTCACAATGCATTTAGTTTTATACTGCACATTACATTTATTATTAGATAAAAATGATGAAATACCAGAAAGCTTTCCTGGCAGTGAGGCAACATATGGTCTGCATTCCTCAGCCAACGCGTGCCAGGTGAACGGGCCAATTTCAGGGATAAAAATTTCAACCATTTAATTTGCAGTGCCAGCTCGTGATGTTGTTCACCCAGGCAGATGCTCCCTGTACGCCGGGCAGAGACAGGCTGCCAAAATTCACGTCTCTCTTCACGTGGGTTTGTCTGTGAAACCTTATGTGGCAGAGTTGGGACCGAAATCTGCACAACATTCCCCCATCTCCATGCTAAACCGCTCCTCCACACCCCACAGCTCCCCACCACACACACACACACACACACACAGCCCTATGCAAATGCCAACCCTCCTCCACAAACCTCCCCCATTTGCAAGCAACCCTCCCCTACACACAAATACATCCCCCATCAGTACGCTAACTCCCCTCCTCGCCCACACCTCACACACATACACACATCCCCTCTCTGAATGTGAATACCCCTCCCCACATGCAACACGCTGTGATAAAACACACATTGAGGGAGCTGAGCGAGGAGGACCTGCTGTCAGGATAGTGTCACTGCCATGGCTTGCACGTAATGATGTGCACTTTCGGATCATTCTGAAGCGAGCAGCTGAACCACAATCCCCTCGGTCGCTTGACCAGCCTCAAATTATTAGAGATTGGAAACAAGACGCATAGTGTTAACCACTTACTAACAGTGTAGCCATCTGTCAATCTGTACCCTGAGGGTCTGTAGTGAGGTATTTACAGTGCGCTCTGCGGGGCAGACAGTAACGTTACATTTTGAACTGAACTCTTGACAATGCGACTTTCTTGCAAATCCCAGCAACACGTTAAAGAGTTATATACAGATATATATTTTCTTTTAATGTGCCTATTTCTGCAGTGTAAGTGTCTTCCCTTCCCCCAGGCCAATTATACGGGGGTGCAGCAGTCAACCCTATTTCTTGAGGAAATGTAATTAATTAATTAGCCCAATTTTGCTTATATTAAGAACTGTACTCTGTTATTAAAGTGCTCTGTAAATTGAAGGAGCGAGAGAGAGAAATAGAGAGAGAGATATTAAAAGGTGGTTAAAATAAGTCTAGAGATTAAGGAATTGGACAGTCCTACTGACGTGTGCTAAATTCCCATTAGATTTTGTGGGAGGGGTGACCAACTGAACTGGTCACGTGAGGAAAGTTTGCTGGGGAGGTGGTGGGGTAAAGACAAAGGGAACACGAATCACACAAAAAACGATGCACAGACAGCGAGTGCTCCCAGCGAGCGAGTCTCCCGCATGTCTCACTTGATGGAGGTGACGGCCTCGTGGATTGATGTTGCCACGTAGTCCAGGGTCTTGGTGGTCAGGCCACACATGTTGATGCGGCCGTTGGCCATGAGGTAGATGTGCTTCGTCTTGATCATGTATTCCACCTGCGCCTCTGTGAAGGCAAGACAGAGAGAGGGTCAGATTGCCTGACTTTGTGACTCCTTGTGGAGTCCGCTGGTGTAGTGGTCAGCGCGCTCACCTCGCAAGCGAGAGGACCTGGGTTCCATTCCCGGGCAGGCCAAAACCTTAGGCAAGTTTCCTTATTCCTCTGTTTACATAGCAATAAATAGGAACCCAGTTGTTACAATTGAAAATTATATTTACATTGCGCCTTTCACGTCAGGAGGTGCTGATGGACAGGGATTTGGACCCAAGCTGGAGGGGGTTGGGATCAGGGAGGGTAGGAGGCTGAAGTCACGGTCAAAAAGGAGGATCTTGCAGTGACGGAGGCAAAGGGGGGGCCGAGTCAAAGGGAATGTGAGATGGAGTTCCAAAGGATGGGGGCAGAGAGGCTGAAGGCCCGGCTGCCTATGGTGGGGTGGGCCGGGCGGGGACGTAGAGCAGGCTTAGCCTGCTGAGCGGAGGGAGTGGACAGGTTGATATGGGGTCAGCAGGTCACAGAGGTAGGAGGGGTAAGGCCGTGGATGACCTTGAAGTTGAGGATGAGGATTCTGAATTCTATCCTCTGGGGGATGGGGAGCCAGTGGAGCCGGACGAGGGTGGGAGTGATGGGGTCAAGGAGCCTGGTGTGGGAGAGGACATGGACTGCAAAGTTCTGGATGATCTGCAGCTTTCAGAGGGAAGAGTTGAGAAGGTTGAAAAGCAGTGAATAGGCGTAGTTGAGCCTAGATTTGATGAATGTCTGGATGGTTAGTGAATTGGCAAGTGTAATAATTCCTCCAAAAAAAATGTGGTCACTCAAACCACGACTCTTTGTAAGACATTGATGTGCACAATTGGTTGCCAAGTGCTTCCCACAAAATACACGTTACAAATATATTCTGTGAAGCACTTTGAGACATCTTAATGATGATAAGGCATGTATCAAATTATTATTACTCAAAGCGTTGCCAAGCCATACTGTGACAATATTGGCCACTGCTTTTCAAACTTAGGCAAGTTTTTTGTGGGGGGAAAAAAGAGAGGGGGGAAATCTTCCATCTTCCCCCCAGAAAAAGTTAGACCTTTGACAATGCAGTTCTTTCTCCCTAATGCTATATTGGAGTGTCAGCCTTTGACTCTGTGATCAAAGTCCTGAAGTGGGGCCTCAATATAATAATGATACCAACCGATCTTTACAGGGGACCTTGTTGAGTGCAAATTGATGGCCCCGTTTAACTACAAAAAAGTTACTAAACTTGACAGCAATTATTTAATTATTTAATTGTAAAGTTTAATGTGATTAAGTGTGATATGAAATGCAAGGGTTAGTATTATAAAACCCTTGTCAACAGCACCATCTCCTGGTGAAAAGCACCTTGAACACAGCTGAAGGGACCAGCAACAATGGATTGGAGAGGACAACAGTAACTGGGTGCTATAGTAATAAACAATAATCCTTGCTTTTGATACAGCGCCTTATTACGTCTTCAAGATGTCTCAAAGCACTTCACAGAAGATACTGTAAAGTGAATTGACTGTATATTTTGTGGGGCAGCCAATTGTACTCAGCAGTGTCCCTGAAACACTGGATTAAGTGACCTAATTTATAATTTTTTGGGTTGTTAAACAAATTATTATGCTGGGAAAAATGCTCCACCAATCGACCAATGACCGGGTTCCTACTTACTGCTAGGTAAGCAGAGGTGTGTGGAGCATGGAAACTTGCCCAACGTTTCGCCCTGCCGGGAATCAAACCCAGGTCTCTTGCTTGTGAGGTAAGTGCTCTAATCACTGAGCTACAGAATTCCAAGTTGGTGGGAAGCTTGGGCTCGTAGTGAGATTCCCCAGAAGGGAAGGGCACGTTTGATCTCTCTAGATTTCACATTAATTAGTTTTTGTTAAAACATTTTTGCCTTTGAATATAATGTTTGATCCGGGTTACACTGTACAATACTGCGAGCAGGTGAACGACCTCAAATGAACTTTCAATGTATGTTCAGATACTTCTGAGAAAGATATACACAGAAAGTGTGTGTAAGTACAAACATACAAATATATTTTGCCTACTAAATGCTGTGACCCTCTTTGAGAGAATGATAAGAATCCTTGCATTTGATATTGCGCCTTATCATGTGTTCGAGACGTCTCAAAGCGCTTCACAGAATAATAATAATCCTTGCATTTGATATAGCGCTTTTTACGTCGGGAGGACGTCCCAAAGCGCTTCACAGAACACACTGTAAAGTGAATTGACTGTATTTTGTGGCTGAAACGCGGCAGCCAATTGTGCGCAGCAGCGTTCTACGCTGGCGAAATATCGAATGCAAAGACTATTTTTGGATAGAGAGAAACAGACACCAGTCAAGCACAACACAAACCGTGGGATTGCGTAAGACACTGATTTGGCGCTTAGCCAAACCGTCTGGTTCCCATTTGAACAAAAAGGTACATTGCTTAAGTCTCTCTCCCCACCTCCCCCAACTCAAACCAAATTTTTATTTTAAAAAGAAAGTTCTTAAGGCTTTGCTTTTCTGCTCAATTCAAAACAAGCAGACTGGCGGGACAGCTGGCTAACATTACCAGTTAAATACTGCCGGGCCCAAAGATGTTCAGAACAAAGAGCTGAATTAGGGCAGTTGGTTTGCATTAAAGGCTTCAACTAAGCAAAAAGCGAATTAACAAACACTGCAATAAACCCCATGCAACTTGCGGATGAGGTCAATCGCGGAGACACAGCAGCCAACCTGCCACGTGGAATACACCTGACTTTTGAATCACATTCCATACAATATATAAACTATGAAAATGCATCAAGCCGAGTTTATTGATGGCAAATCGCCCCTGCGCTGCCCTTCTGCGCCTCATTCATTCCATGCACTGCTGCGCTGCGTTCCTATGCTGTGCTCCTGCAATTTTCTCATGCACTGCGCTCCTGTCCTGTGCTTTTCTCACGCTGCATTCCTGCACTGCGCTCTTGCTGTGCTCCTGTGCTGCATTCCTGTGCTGCGGTCCTCCACTGTGTTACTGCACTCCTGCCATGCGCTCCTGTGCCCTTCATTGCAATCAAAGAGTAAAGCAACCAGTTGGACTGGATTATTGAGTGAAATAGTGGAGCTGATGAGATTGGTTTTGAATCTTTGTGAGACACTGCTGTCGTAACAGGCTGTCACATTTCATCCACAAAATCAATTTGTCAATTCATTTTACAGTATAACCTGTGAAACGCTTTGAGATGTCTCGATGATGAGGCGCTATATCAAATGCAACCATTATTATTATCAGTCTGCATTGTGGGCCATTATCAGCCTTAGGACACAATGGTCTGGTGGGGGGGGGGGGGGGGGGGCGGGCGAGACTAAGAAGAGGCTAAGGCGAAGATTTTCCAAAAACTGGTTAAATTCCATGATAATCCTTACATCATTTGGTATAGCACGCACAGGATATACTGTAAAGTGCAGTGACTTGAGCTATGTGGATGATAAACAAAGCCAGAGACAAAAACACAGCTGCTTTATTGATTAACATCTATTGATGGAGCAAAGAGCTGTTTGACCACAATATACATATAAAAAAGCTAAACACGTCATTTGTTGGAACCAGTTCAGCTCTGAAGAGACCCCCCACCTCCCCTTGTGTAAGAATAAAAAAAGGAATGGGTCAGTCATTCCAAACGAATGATTAAACATTGCCCCACAAAGCCATGGACACAGAACAGCCATTTGGGGGTGTTTAAACACAAAACAGATACTTGGCAAGAGAGGAATAGGAAGAAACAGTAGCACAGGAATGCTTTCAACCGCTATGTCCCAAACCCCTGTACCTCTCTGCCTCGATCCCTCCGTCTTGCACCTCCTTCCCCATCTGCAGAACACACCTAAAGACTTTCCTCTGTGACTGTTCCTATGATCACCTCACCTTTCTTCCCAGTTCAGTGTCAAACTGTGCTATGTTAAGCGTTTTCCAGTGTAAAGTGCACTGTTTTTACTTGGACAGCAGGTGTCTGACACATGCAGAAACCCATCACCAGAGTCTCCAAACCAAGCTGAGATTTTCATGCATCCCTCCTGCACATGGAAATCCCAGAGATAGATTGTTGGAATGGAATGCGCTCTCTCTCTCTCTCTCCCTGGAGGGATGCATCCTGTTTACCTAATTCCAGAAAGTATTAGGCGCAGGTTGGCAAGAGCCAAGGCTTGGGGACTCCAAAGCCCCTCATAACAACAATGGTTGGATGATACTTATGCACAAATATCTTTGGCATCGCTCAATCATACAAAGACTCCTGCGAGACAGATGCTTTGGCAGCAAATGTTACTGAGGGTCTTTATAGGAACTCTTCAATGGCTGCCCAGTGCTTTCAGCAGAATTAAACTGACAATAAACAGAGCTGACCTCGGGCGCTTTTCGTGATGGTCTGTGCAAACAGCCCAGCTGCTGGCAATAAACGCTGCAGCATTTCAAAGCCATTTGCCAGGTGTGTGGAGAGAGAGAAACACAGAGAGAAGCAACTGATTTGCTATCCCGAATCATCCTCACTTTATAATGCTACAAGAATCCTTGCATTTCAATCAGGGAGCAGAGCTCTGCAACATCTCCAAGAGCTTCACAGGTAATTACCAGCGAGAATAGTGACTGTTTTGTAACCACACTCTGCCTCTTTTCCATGATAACGTCCCATAGCCAGCAGAGTAAACAGACTATTTGGAGGATTGTCGGCCAGGACACCAGGCGAAACTCCCTCTCCTGTTCCCAACAGTGTGGCAAGCAGGATCTTTAACGTCCACCAGATGTCCAGGGGCTGAATTAATAGTAATAATTGTTGTATTTGATATAGTGCCTTTTCACGTTGTTGAGACGCTTCACTGTAAATTGAATTGACTGTATATTTTGTGGAGGAAGCACGGCAGTCAATTGCGCACAGCAGTGTCCCACAAACAGTCATGATGGAGTGACCAACTTTTTTTTGAAGGGATTATTACCTCTGGAAAGCGATTTGCCAATCAACTAATAACCAAAATCCTAATTACAGCTCGGGAAAACAGGCATATGGAGTAAGGATAATTTGCCTGAGGTTTCGCTCGACCGAGATACAAGTGCTCGCAAGGAAACTCCACAAATTCAAGCATATTTGTGAAAATTACCCTAATACTCACTCGCCCATTATTAATAATAATAATACTATTGAGCTGGATGATTATTGCAATCCCTCCCACTTTCAAATCCTGCCTAAAAAAAATCTTCCTTTCTGATCGTGCTTAGAGTCACCTCCCACTTCTTTCTCCCCCGGGCTCAGGGTGAGACTCCGCCATTGTGAAGCGTTCCGGGACGCTACCCCACGTGAAGGGTGCTATAGAAGTTGTTGTTGCTGTCAAGGCCACCTGCTCACATTGGAACCTGATCACCAGTGGCCACAGGGCAGGTAATAGGAACTACCCACCCCAGAACTCCAACCTCAACACAAACAGGGAAGGCCACTCAACTCAATTCTCCCTCCTCCATAGTACTGAAGATTCACTGCAAATGAGCTCTAACCAGGAGTTATAGCTTTAGACTGGAGCCTTTTCATCCAACACTCAACAAAGATGGGCTTCTACCGACTGTACAGCACGGGATCACACAAGCCATCACCCGTTCCTTACTCACTCCCACACCCTTCTATTCCCCTCTCCCTCACGTGAAGGTGTAGCTTCCTCTTGAATGCATCTATTCTATCTGATTTAACCACCGCTTCAGGCAGCGGGTTCCACAATCTCACTACGCTCTGCATCAAGTAGCTCCTCCTAATTTCTCTTTTTGATCCCCTCGTCGCTTGCATTCAGTCCCCTGGTTATGGCCTCCCTAACGGCGGAAACAGCTAACTAGTGGTGTGTACCTTCTGAAGGTCTTCCCTCTGACGGTGAAGTGAGGTGAGGTCAGTACACACAGTTGGTTGGTCGGTGTACATACCATTAAGTCCTGTGAAGCTGAACATGCCAATCTGCTCGGTGATGTGATTCCAGGTCCCTGGTGTCCCCAGCTTCTCCAGTCTCTTCCTCAGCTCGTCTCTCATCAGCAGCACTCGGTCAGCCATAGTCTTCACGTTCTCCTTCCTGTGGTTTGAACATTTATTATAATAACAATAATCCTATTTGATATAGCTCATCACATTGTTGAGACGTCTCAAAGCGCTTCACAGAATATACTGTAAAGGGAATTGACTGGATTTGTGGACAAAACGTAGCAGTCAATTGCGCACAGCAGTGTCCCACATACAATCTTGGATTGAAATGACCAATTTATTAGTATTTTTTGAATGGATTATTGCCCCCGGAAAAGCAATCCGTCAATCGACTAACAACCAGTTTTACTCACTGCTGGGCAAACGGAGATGGCTATGGGTAGCACAGAGGGACTGAACAGTCTCACTTACCATTCAGCAAAGAGCTGGGGGTCATTGAGAGTCTTGGCCACGATCCGAGCCCCCTGAGTCGGGGGGTTTGACCAGATTGTGCGGATGATGACCTCCATTTGGGAGCGGACCTTCATGACGTTGTCGTGGTCCTTGCTCACAATTGTCAGGTTCCCCACTCTTTCATCTGGAAGATGGGGCAGGGGGTGGGAGGGGGAGAGAGATAGAGAGAGAGAGAGAGAGAGAGAGAGAGAAAATAAATTAAGTCATTCCAGTGAAACATCAGCCTAATCAAAAGCACAAGGCCTTAAGACATGAGGGAACAGTTGCCTCACCAGTACAATTGGAACAGTTTTGGTTCTAAACCGCAACAGGTCGTTGTTGCAGCAAAGCAGGTTGTTGCTCTACGCTGCAGGCTATTGATGCTCACGTTAACACTTCCCAGCACTGTGATGTATAAACTAGCTCGCAGGAAAGGGCTTCAGGTTCATAGAAGCAACAAAACAAGTTTGTGACTTCTCCGCATTGCTCTAATCCCACTCCACTGCTTGCTCCCAAACCCTTGAATATTCCTTTCCTCCTTTTTTTGTGGAGTTCTGTAGCTCAATGGTTAGAGCACTCACTTCGGAAAGTGAGAGATCCTGAGTTCGATTCCCGGGCAGGGCGAAACCTTAGACGAGTTTCTTTACTCCATACGTCTCTGTTTACCTGGCAGTAAATAGCAACTCAGTTGTTAGTCGATCGAGGGATCGCTTTCTGGGGGTACAAAATCCTCAAATTATTTGAGGGGAGTTGATCTGCAGTGAAGCCTGACTGTGCTGAACTATGTTAGTGTGTCAGAAGCACTCTCGCCTCTGGGTCTGAAAGCAACGTTCTTGGTTTACTTTTTCAACCCCTTGTAATAGCACTGCTGCGCGCAATTGGCTACTGCATTTCCCCTACTAAATATATAGTCAATTCATTTTACAAAACATTCTGGGAAGCGCTTCAAGACGTCCCAACGACTATCAAAATGCAAACATTATTATTATTATGACTACTCCCTCGGCAACACCTTCAACTTCAGCGAGCGCTCCATGGGTTGATAGGCAAGACGGACGCTTTGACTCACTGTAAAGGCCGAAGTTCTTGGAAAATGACTGGGCACAGAAGAACTCAAAACCTTGGTCCACAAAATAGCGGACAGCCCATGCATCCTTGTCCAGGTCGCCTGAGGCAAACCCCTGGTAGGCTATATCAAAAAAGGGGAAGAGGTGCCTTTTCTGCAAGATGGAGAAGGAGGTTAGTTGAAAATTTTAGTATTTTTTTAAAAAAAATGTGATTAACACAGCGAGAAATAGTTTTAGCTCCAATGGTATCACCCAACGACACCACACTCCACGTGATGTGTTTATCAGGGCACAAAAGATAGTGAGTAAGCAGGTCTTTGATGCCGCTCGTGAGGCACTGCCTCGAGTTTTAAGCAGACTGTAGTTTGAGCTGTGACTGACATAACAGACTGGAAACAAAGTGTGGGACTCAAATTCCCAAGGTCATTTTGTTAGGTCAGGGTATCAAGGGATATGGGGCAAAGGAGAGCAATTGGAGTTGAGTTACAGATCAGCCATGATCCAATAGAATGACGGAATAGACTCGAGGGGCTGAATAGCTTATTTCTATTCCTATGTTCCTATCGATTGTCAGAAACATTTCACTTACTAAAATCCATCCTGGAAAATAACTTTCACAGTGCTTTTCCTGTACACTAGCCATCCCGAAACACCACACAAAGTGAAATCGATTGGAAACAAAGTGAGGATTGTGGTAGTTTTGCTGCAGTGTAAAATTCCAACCCAATTTTAAAGCTGGTTTCAACAAACTGAAGTTCAAGAACCTGACTTCCAAAAGGTCAGCCAAAAGGATTTGTTAATAATTGATTAATTACAAAATAGGACACTTGTAATTTCCTCTGTACACGCACCTCCCTTTAATAAAGGGACATGAAATCTATCCTTATTTCAGTGAGTTTTATTTCCATCGCATTTTTTACTTTAAAATTCGGTTCTTACAGCACATATCACCCACAAAATACAGTTAATTCACTTTACAGTATATTCTGTGAAGCGCTTTGAGACACTTCAAAGATATGATAAGGCACTGCATCAAATGCAAGGATTATTGTTACCTTCATGACCTTAGCAATTTCCATCCACTGCTCGTGTGTCGGGTCTGTCCCAGTGGGGTTATGGGCACAGGCGTGCAACACAAAGATCGAGAACTCTGGGGCATCCTGGGGGAGAAACAATAGTTAGATCCAGTGAGTTTCCGACCCAAGACAATCCATGAGATGTAGGTAGCTCCCGTCGTGGTTAGCACACTCGCCTCGCAAGCAAGAGGACCCGAGTTCAATTCCCGGCAGGGCGAAATCTTAGGCAAGTTTGCTTACTCCACGCACATGCCTCTACTCCTAAGTTAGTAAGTAGGAAAACGGTAGGTATTCGATGGGGAGATCACTTTCCAGGGGTAATAATCCCTCAATCTGCGGCTGTTTAGGGGATACTCTTGTGCACAATTGGCCGCCGAGTTTCGCCCGCAAATTACAGTCACTCACTTTACAATATATTTTGTGAAGCGCTTTGAAACATCTCAAAGACATGATAACGGGCTATATCAAATGCAAGGATTATTATTATTATTATAGAAGAACAAAGGAAACCTCCATATCCTTCAGCATTCCTTTCATATGCAGCCCACGAGTGCACTTGTCCCAGTATTTGTACGAGCGGATATCAGTGAAGCCTGCACCACCAAACACCCCATTGTGGTTCCCTGTCAAACACAATTGATTTTTTTTAATGATTTAAAAAAAATTAAAATACTGGTGTTCAAATGTTAATGGTTCAGTGTGCTGAAGTGGTTGTACGTACAAACTAATAAAAGCCACCCACACGGATGAAGCTACGCACACAAGAGTTTATAGTTAAATAGTCCCTCAAGTTCATCTGCAACTGGTCATAAGTTGACAGATGCAGACGTACCCCAGGTTGGTGAAGAGACATAGACTGGCGTGGCCTTGTTGTTGTTGCCGTTGTACCATCGTCGCAGGAACTCAGCACCGATGCGAAGGGCCCCCGTGCCTCCCAAACACTGCACACCGCCCACCTGTCACAGTGAGACACAGAGACTATCACTCACTCCCACAGCTGCAGCGTGCAAGCAAATCAAAACATGCATATCTCTAGCAAAACTACAGTTAATCTCTACCACTCCAACAAAAAAACACATTGAATGCGTGTCTGTCTGGGCTTGAAACTGTTGCTTTGTCCAAAGAACAAGTCTGCACGTGGCAAACTTGGAGCAACAGTTGAGAGATAGGTTTCATGCTCCCCCCCAACCATCCCCCGACCCTGATCAGCCGGGTGTCTGACTCATGTGGAAGCCCATCACTGTGCTTAGATTTTCGATACATCCCATCTCCACATGGAAATCCCAGAGATAGATTGTTGGAATGGAATGCTCTCTCTGCCTGGAGGGGCAGATCCTGCTTAACTAATTACGGAGAGTATTAGGTGCAGGTTAGCAAGAACCAAGGCTTGGGGTCCCCACAGTGTGCGTTGGAGTAAATGCTGGAGTCTAACCAGCTAAAACCACATAACTTGCCATTGCGAGCACTGTCTGGCAAGCTTTCCTGCTGCTTGTCCAGCTAGGACCACCTCACCTGTTAGGGCTTTGGCTTAACAAGAGCTGAGCCTTCAGTGATTGATCTGTCCTTCTAAGTGCTGCTGATGAGCCAGGCTGGGCTGCCCTAGAATACTGCAGACCCACCTGGATCAGAAACCAAACTGGAAACCGTCACAGAGGGTTGTTCCTGGACACTTACCCTGTTGTCTGCTATAGCAGCACTGTCCTTACTCAGCACGATGGCAGAGGCAGCCTGAGTGAAGTCTGGGAGTCCAAGGATTGGCAGGTACTCGTGATTCAGGGTGAGGTCATTGGAAATCTGCGCTTCCACCTTCCTCACAACCGGCAAGACCCAGGGCTGACCTTCATCAGTGCGATAAGCTGTAAATAGGGAGGAGGGTGGAAGGAGCGAGGACAAGGCAAGAGATCAGAAATTCATTAGAGGAACAGAACAAAGGTCAAACTATATGCCATCTGTTATATGTCCTCTGAATCAGCAGGTTGTGGGCAAGCTGCATATTGGGAATTGGAACCTAAGCTGATGCTTCAATGCAGTGCTGGAGTTTGCTGCATTGTTGGAGGTGCCGTTCTCCGGATGAGACGTTAACCCGAGGTCCCGCCTGCCTATCCGGGTGGACATTAAAGACCCCGTGGAGCTAATCAAAAAGAGAAGGGAGTTTCTCGCTCCTTAGTGTTATGACCGACAATCCCCCCAAATATCACTGGTCACTTACTTTGTGGCTGTTTGGGGGACACTGTGTGTGCAAAGATTGGCTGCCATGGTTCACCCACAAAATACACAGTCAACATACTTTACAGTATATCCCGAGAAGCGCATTGATATGGACGACTTGATAAGGCACTATATCAAATTCAGAGATAAATGATTATTGTTGTTAAAATATTAATGGAACCTTAGGTGGGGCTACCAGAGGCCAACACGCAACAACCTCATAGAAAACTAATGAGACACTAACTTTTAATTAAAAGAAAAATATATTTTCATACAATTCATTACTTGAAAAAAAATTAAACACTTTGTTGTAATTATTATTGATTTGCCATTTCAGAATCAAAGTCAAAACCAGTTATGATATTTTAGGATTGAAACAGATCGGATTGCACAGGAGTGTACTCAGCATTATGTAACCACCGTGACATTGAGTAGACATTCTGCACTTCACAATGCTGTGCACTCAGCTGTTTTTTTTTCTATCAGCTGAGTGTCTGACACTTGCAGACACCCTGTTTGAATAGTATGCAAACCAGAGTTTCATGTATATACATATAGAAACAGCTAGAGCAAATGGAATGCGCGCCCTCTTCACCCACACGCCCCCTCGGGCCGAGAAGGACACACCCTAATACCCAATTTCGGAGAGTGTTAAGTACAAGTTGGCAAGAGGCAAGGCTTGAGACCCCAGAGTATGCGTTGAGAGTATTGCTTGAGTTTAACCAGCTAAAACCACATTGATATCACTGTATGTCTCGCTCCAATACTGGACTGCAAATAAGTTAAGTGGGAGGGACCTTTTGCAATAAACTAACCTTGAGCAATATCTGAGGTTCCAATCCAGTTGGAGCAGGTCTGGCCAGCACAGTACGCACTTACAAAATAGGGTATAAGTCATGCAGCACATCAAAGAAAATTCTGCATGTTTGGAGGTCTTTGGCATTTAAAGGGTCAAAGCTCGTGTGGGTTTCAGATTAACAAGTGGAAAGCAACTGCAAAAACATCAGATCAAAATCTGACCAAACTTTACTGGGGGAGGGGAAAAAGAAAGAAAGGGGGTGTTAAAACAAGGCAGAACGATTAAATCAAAGTGAAATTTGGGGTATTTTAGTGCACCGTTATCATAGTAATAATAAATAATAATCTTTGCATTTGATATAGAGGCATGTGGAGTTAGGAACCCTGCCTGACATTTCAGCATTAAAGCATCTGTTTTGCAGAACAAGGTGTTGAGCTTCTGATCGGAGACGTGAGGTAGAAAGGAACTTGCCAAAGCTCTCAGGGCAGGGACTGGACGATGAACTACATTTTAGAGAACCTGCATTTGCCTGGGATGACCACTAGAGGGCAGCACCACAGGATAAAAACCACAGGATAATAAAAATCCTTGCATTTTGATATAAGGTCTTATCACGTCATTCAGAAGTCTCAATGCGCTTTACAGGATATACTGTGTATTTTGTAGGTGAAATGTGGCAGCAGTGTCCCAAAAATGTTGTGGATTGAGTGACCAAGCTTTTTCCAGGGGATTATTACCCCTGGAAAGCGATCCGCCAATTGACTAATGACAGGGTTCCTACTGACTGCAAGGTAAATGGAGAACTATGGAGTAAGGAAACTTTCCTAAGCTTTCCCCCTACCCGGGAATCAAACCCAGGGTCCTCTCGTTTGCGAGACGAGTGCTCTAACCACTGAGCTATAGGACTCCACAGGATCAGGCAATAAGTTTCTGAGGTTAGGCTCAGTGCCCAACTGCTCCTTCAGAATAAGCGGTTCAAAAAAAGGGTCAGGTTTCTGCACTAACATGAGAATAAATCTTAATCGAAAGAGCAGCATTGTGTCTTAAACACGATTTGGAATATCAGGAGTAAGTCAAGGCTGATCATTCAATTTGTCTCGCACTAAATTTGGATCTTACACTTACTGTGGAACCAAAGGATCATCAATCAAGAGTAAATCTTAAATGTTACGGGTTACGCTGCAACCTTAGACAGCTGTGTTGGTTCTTCTCACTGATCGGTGTCCTTTATATATGATAGGTCACGAGGGGATTAATGTTCAGAATCGTGCATCCACACCTTAATTTGTATCAAGGTATAATTAGCAAACTAGCACTATTAGCAAATTAGCAAACATTAGCACTAATACAAAGATCCTAAATCATCCATTTATAGAACAGAGAAAACCAGCATTACTGCTATCTGGAGCAAGTTTGGTGCAGACATGCCCGTTATAACCTGGCGTGTTATACAATGTTAACAGCAGAATGTAAAGTGGCTTGTAAAACCCAAGCTTCTGCTGTACTGTACTAACAGTAATCCTTGAATTTATTATAATCCAAGTAATGCTGAGAACATCTTAACAAGTTTTCTATAAAGGTGCGGTGACTCTTTTTGTACGAGGCCAGTTCGCGCTCAGCAAAGTCCCACAAACAGCCAGTCTCACATTTAAGATGGGTCAGCACTGAAACAGAGAGAGATCCCAAGCCACTTAGCTTTAACAATTGGGGAGTAAAAAGCACATTGATATTTCTGCTGAAAAAATTAGAGCTTTGAGTAGACAAGATGGCATCGTGCTTGATTATATAATGGCACACACCTCATGATCAGAGTTGATTTAACAAAGACTGGCAGCCATAAGCACAAATCAAATTAACCACATGACACTATTGCAGGCTACCTGGTCACGCCCAGACAGTGCTGTCAATGGCAAGCTCTGCGCTTTTAACAACAACAACGTGCACTTATATAGCGCCCTCCACGCAGGGTAGCTTCTCAGAGCGCTTAACAGTGGCGGAGCCTGACTCCAAGGCTGAGGGGGGAGAGGTAGCCAGAAGCACGGGCGAAGAAGAAGGCTTTCAGGCAGGACTTGAAAAGGGGTAGAGAGGGAGAGTCTTCCAGAGCTTTGGGGCGCAATAGAGGAAAGCGCGACTTTCAATGGTGTGGCAGAGGCTGCAAAGGACGAGCAGGAGGCCAGTGCCAGTTGAGTGGAGGCGCCTAGTGGTGGATTGGGAAGTGAGGAGGTTGGAGCGGTCGGGAGGTGCCAGAGAGTGAAGGGATTTGAACACAGGAGTGAGGAGCTTGAAGTCAATCTGTTCGGTGATGGGGAGCCAGTGGAGCCTGGGCCAGAACTGGTGAGATGTGGGAACGGAGTTTGGTTGGGGTCAGGATGTGAGCGGCAGAGTTCTAAATGAGCTGATCTTTTAAATAGTGGAGTTGGAGAGGTGACAGGGTTTCTTTCGGCTGCATTTTTAGCTGGTTAAACTCCAACCCACACTATGGGATCCACAAACCTTGCGCCTAATTGTCTCCAGAATTGGTGGCATTGGGTGTGTCCCTATGGAGAGAGAGAGAGACCCACGGGGAAATTTCAATGTTAAGTGTTTAACGTGGAACTCTATCTGGTTTGCATACTCTTAAGCACAGTGGTGGGTTTCCATTGTGATTCCTTGTACTGTAGGTTAAGAGCTGGAGGTGCTCTACATTCTGAAATAAATCACATGAAAAACGCTGAATAAGTGTATACTTATATACACGGCACCGTTAATCGTTTACTCCGATCGCAATCTCACATAGCTGAGGGATAACATGATCAAGAACAGCTGTTGCTCATCGATAGCTGAGCATAACAAGGTTTAGCTACAGATTATCAATGAGATAGTATAGATGTGTACTCCAAGAACAAATGATCTTCAATAGCTGAACATAACAAGGTTTAGCTACAGATTAAACCCCCATGTCAAGCTCAACTCATTCAGCAACACATCAAGGGGATATAGACAGTGCAATCCAAGATCACATGATCATCAATAGTTGAACATAACAAGGTTTAGCTACAGATTATCAATGAGATAGTAATAGATGTGCACTCCAAGAACAAATGATTTCAATAGCTGAACATAACAAGGTTTAGCTACAGATTATCAATGAGATAGTATAGACAGAACACTCCAAGAACGTATTCCTTGCCCTCAGGGCAGCGGCACACGCTGAGTTTTGCAGGCTCAGTTCTGAGTTCTAACGAAGGGTCGTGGACCCGTAGCGTTGACTCACTTTCCTTTCTCCATAGATGCTGCCTGACCTGCTGAGTCTTCCCAGCTCTCTCTTTTTGTTTCAGATTCCAGCATCTGCAGTATTTGGTATTTTGTTACTGTAAAATGGATTGACTGTATACTTTGTGGGCAAAACGCGCCAGCCAATTGCACACAGCAGTGTCCCATAAACAGTCATGAATTGAGTGACCAAATTATTATTATTTTTTAAAGGGATTAATACCCCCAGAAAAGCTTACTGCGAGGAAAACAGCGGCGTGTGGAATAAGGAAACCTGCCTGAAATGCAGAGAGAGGAAGAGCATTAGAGGGTATGGGGGAAGAGCAGGGAATTGGGAGTTGCATAGACAGGTTCTTGAAGGAGCAAATAATGGGTCAAACGGCCTTCCATTGTGTCGTACATTCCTGTGGTTCTAAAATCCCCAACACACACTGAACATGTCAACAACAACAGAATAATCTGGAGGACTGTCAGCCAGGAAACCAGGGAGAAGCTCATGTTTCTTGTCCGTTAATTACACCGGATCTTTACCGGCAGCCTGAATGGGCACAGAAGGGGATCTGGATTTAACATTATTATAATAATATTAATAATCCTTGCATTTGATATAGCGCCTTATCACGACTTTGAGACTTCTCAAAGCGCTTCACAGAATATAGTGTAAAGTGAATTGACTGTACATTTTGTGGGTGAAACCCATCAGCCAATTGCACACAGCAGTGTCTGTCCCACAAACCGTCGTGGATTGAAGTGACCAATTTATTATTGTTTTGAGGAATTATTTTCAGGCTTTTTAATAATTTTTAACAAGAGACAATAGCAATAAATAATAGAGCAATAGTAACAAATAAATAAAAATAATAATAAAATCAATAATGATCCATATCAATACAGTTGTCAATCAATAACTGTCAGCAATACAGTCAGTCAATAGCCCCCAACACAGACCCGGGCTGGTAACCTGGCGGGGGCCGGGGGGCCTGGCGGGGGCCGGGGGGCCTGGCGGGGGGCCTGGCGGGGGCCGGGGGCGGGGGCCTGGCGGGGGCCGGGGGCCTGGGCGGGGGGCCTGGCGGGGGCCGGGCGGGGGGCCTGGCGGGGGCCGGGGGGCCGGGCGGGGGGCCTGGCGGGGGCCGGGGGGCCTGGCGGGGGGCCTGGCGGGGGCCGGGCGGGGGCCGGGGGGCCGGGCGGGGGCCGGGGGGCCTGGCGGGGGCCTGGCGGGGGGCCTGGCGGGGGGGGCCTGGCGGGGGGCCTGGCGGGGGCCGGGGGGCCTGGCGGGGGGGCCTGGCGGGGGCCGGGGGGCCTGGCGGGGGCCTGGCGGGGGCCTGGCGGGGGGCCTGGCGGGGGCCTGGCGGGGGCCGGGGGGCCTGGCGGGGGCCTGGCGGGGGCCGGGGGGCCTGGCGGGGGCCGGGGGGCCTGGCGGGGGCCGGGGGGGCCTGGCGGGGGCCGGGGGGCCTGGCGGGGGCCGGGGGGCCGGGCGGGGGCCGGGGGGCCTGGCGGGGGCCGGGGGCCTGGCGGGGGCCGGGGGGCCGGGCGGGGGCCGGGCGGGGGCCTGGCGGGGGCTCTTACCTCCGATGCCCAGGTTGACCTTGTCAGGGTGCGGGTCCTCACGGAAGTCGGCCGACAGTTTGAACACGACCACGGGGGCAGCCATCGGGACGTCGGCGAAGAGCGAAGCCATGGCGGGGGATCGCGGGGGGTCGCGCGGACGGCGGCAGACGGTGAGGTGCGATGAGGCGCCGCTCTCTGTCTCTCGGTGTGCGCTCGAGCTCCAGTGACAGTGACCTTCACTTCGCGCGCAGCCTAACGTGACGCCAGCGACGCCCGCCGCATTGTGACGTACAGCTGACTGACACCCGTCTCCACCACTCACCGCCCGATCACGCAATCCTCCTCTCGCGCGATTGGGCGCCTGAGCCCGAGGAGGTCGGGATCTCGCGAGGCAACGCAGTGCGGTTGCGTTTTCTCCCCCCACTCCTTGCCCCGCCCCCTCCCGCCCCTCGTGTCTTCCAATTGGAGGCCAGGAAAGGGGGGAGGGGCGGACGGTCGCCACGGTAACCGTAGGCCCCGCCCCCACGCTGTCCTGGTCGCCGCGTTGCCGACATCCCGTTCATTCATTCATTCATTCATTCACTCACTCACTCATTCATTCATTCATTCATTTAAATGAAAACCAATAAGAAAACAACTGAAATCTATTCCTGAAGTTTAGTTGTATTATGAGTATAATGATTATATTATTCTTCTGGATCTGCCAAAAAGGATGTGATACGTACACATGTCATACACATCATCCCCTGTTACACACTGTTCCATCTGTGCGCTCAGCAGCAATGGGAACAAACTGGTGGTAATGCGAGAGAGAGAGAGAGAGAGTTGGACAAAAATCATCCGGTGACATCCTGGTGATGTCCTGTAAGGAGTCCTGTAGCTCAGTGGCTAGAGCGCTCGCCTCACAAGCGAGAGACCTGGGTTCGATTCCCCGGCAGGTCAGGGCGAAACCTTCAGCAAATTACTCCACGCTCGGCCCTGATAATAATCCCTCAAAAAAAAACAATAAAATTGGTCACTTCGATCCACGGCTGTTTGTGGGTCAGAGCGGTACGCTGCCCAGTTTCGCCCACAGTCAGTTCACTTGATTCTGTGAAGCACTTCGAGATTCTCGAAGACTTGAAAATCAAATGCAAGGATTATTATTATTGAGTTCACCACACAGAGCAGACTGCCAACTCCCTGAATGAATATAAATAATAATCCTTGCATTTGATATAGCGCAAGGAGCCATTTGCATGTTGTGTATTTAATTTGATATACACAGCAGCCAATTTGTGCACAGTAATGTCCCACTAACAGCAATGGAGCGAGTGATTGATTTTACTTGGAGGATTTGGACCGGGCCTTCAGTCACTTTCCTACAACAACAAATTATGCTTGTATAGAATCCTTCACGTTGGAAAGACATCTCAGGCCAACTACCCCTGCCCTCCATCTCTCCTGATCCCAACCCCCAGCTCAGATCCAAACCCCTGACTGTCCAGCTCTTGGGACGTCCTCCTGACATGAAAGGCGGTACACAAATGTAATTTGTTGTTGTTCTTATTGTTGGCCAGGACACCGGGGGAAACTTTCTTCCCTTTACGAATAGTGTGGCGGGATCTTTAACATCCACGTGTACAGGCAGACACGACCTCAGTTTAACGCCTCAACCGAAGAACGGCACCTCCAACAAAACCAACTCATGCGCTCCCATACCTGATGGGAACAGAGCAATACACAAGACCAAAAAAAAACGTTGTACATGACCGATCCCCAGTTATCTCTGCAATTGCGAGTTACACCTGGTGATGAAGAAAACAGTCACTTTAGCAGAACAATACACCTCTTCAGCACAAGGTGGCAGCAGAGTCTACTGAGTGGTAACTGTGTGACATTCAGTGACATTAATGGTGCAGTCAGTATTAATAACCCATTATTTCTATTAATGTCGTTTAACAACAACCTGATCAGGCCCGGGGGGGGGTGGGTGCGGGAGTGGGGTGACACTTCAATTTAATGCCTCATCTGAAATGTCCACTCGGCGTGAAAGGCGCCATACAAATGTAATTTTGTATTGAAACACATGGCACTACTGACAGCGCAGCACTCTTCCAGAATTGATCATTACAACAACAACAACAAGATTACATGTGTACAGCGCCTTTCACATCGGGAGGACGTCCCAAGGCGCTGGATAGTGACAGCATTTCAGACCCAAGCTGGGGTCAAGGAGGGGGAAGGGAAGGAAAGGGGGTGGCCGATGGCATGGACGAAGAGGAGGGTCTTGAGGCAGGACTTGAAGAAGGCTAATGAGGGGGAGAGGCGGACTGATTGGGATATGGAATCCAGAGGTTGAGGCTCTCCTGCCAATGGTGGGGTGGATGGGTTGGGGGATGTGGAGAAGGTCAGAGCCGGCTGAGCGGAGGGAGCGGACGGGTTGGTAGGGGGTTAGGAAGTCGCAGAGGTAGGGTGGGGCGAGGCTTTGTATGTGAGGACCAGGATCTTGAACTGGATCCTTTGAAGGATAGGGAGCCAGTGGAGTCAGGTGAGAGTGGGGGAGATGGGGTCACGGAGTTTGGTGCAGGAGACGACACGGTCTGCAGAGTTCTGGATTATCTGCAGCCTGTGGAGGGAGGAGTTGGGAAGGCCGACCCGCAGGGCGTTATAGTCGAGCCTGGAGGTGATGAAGGCATGAACAAGAGTTTCAGCAGCCTGAGGGGTGAGGTAGTGGCAGAATCAGGCGTTGTTACGGAGGTGAGGGAAGGCATTAATGGCATTGCCTTCCTGTTGCTCTCCACACTGCCTCTCACGAGGTTGCCTCCCACCTAAAGACCTTCCTTTTTTTTCGCGCTTACGATCACCTCCCTCTCCCTCTCCCCCTGGCTCGGGGTCAGGCTCCGCCACTGTCAAGCGTTCCGGACGCTACTCTGCCTGTAGGTCACTATATAAATGCAAGTTGTTGTTGTGGTTGTAGCGAGACAGGGGATAGTATGGTCACACACATACACACACACAGCCCCCACCCCCAATTACCTCTACCACTGAGAGGTACTGACTGAGCCAGGCTGACATTAATTCTTTCCTTTGTAATTAATGCTGTGTCTCCCACCCGAACTCTCCAACATTCAAAGTGTCTTTGATACTAGTGACCACACCACCAGGGCTCAGCGATATTGCTTTGATCTCTATATTTCTCCTGAAATTGCTGAGAATATTCTATATATAAAGGTCAAAGAAGCCACAGAGCGAGCTGAAGGCTAGCCATGTGGACTGAATGGCTTGTCGTCTGTACCTCACACTGGCTTCTGTTCACTGGTATCACTCAACTTGTCAGCTCTGTCAGAACTGGAAGATCCTGGTTGGTCTCAGCAAGGTACAGGGCAGAGTGCTGAAAAAGCCAACAAACACCAAACACAAAGGCAATTAATATTATTATTAATAATCCTTGCATTTGATACAGCGCCTTATTACATTATCGAGATGTCTCAAAGCACTATACAGAATATACTATGAAGTGGATTGACTGGGCAACACATGGCAGCCAATTGCGCACCGCAGTGTCCCAGTCATGGATTAAGTGACTACATTTTTATTTTTTTTAGAGGGATTATTATCCCAGAAAGCGATCTGCCAATCGATCAAAAAACGGTTTCCTACTTACTGCTAGGTAACAGAGGCGTGTGGAATAAGGAAACTTGGCTAAGGTTTGCCTCACCCAGGAATTTTAATATTATTATCATAACAATGATTGACGCTGCTGAGCTGGGAGCTGGGAGATTGAAAAGAAGGTGACAGCTACAAGCCAGCCAGACTCCATGTACATTTTTGCTCAATAAATCTGTGTTTGAGGAAGAAGTCAGACACGTTTGAGGAGGAAGAAGAGAGAATTTGCATCTTTATAGCATCTTATCTCGGAGCAGCATCTCACTGCACTTTACATTAATGACAGTACTAACAAATGTACTGTCTGTTTTTCGAAGCAAACTGTGCACTCAGAGCCCTGAGGAGATGGTTGATTTCTCTGGAGGTTTGATGTTGATGAGCAGGACACCGGGAGAAACTCCCCTCTCCTTTTCCAAAACCGTGTGGGAATGGGATTGTCAACAGGATTTCAACGTCTTCATCCGAGGGGCAGAGGGATTTGCTGTGCATCCCCCGCCCTCTTCGCCTCACCATTCGAGGTCCGAACCTTCAAATACTACACTCCTAAACTTCCAGAATCTTGATATTATTTATGTTTGACCCTCAACTACCCACATCTGCGCCATGACCCGCTCTGCCTTCCCCACCTCCGCAACATCGCCCGGTTCCGCCACTGTCTCACACGACAGGCCACCGAAACCCCCACACACGCTCTCATTACATTGAGGCTCGACTATGGACACTCCCTGCTTGTCGCACCCCCCCCCCCCACCCTCCACAGGCTGCAGATCATCCAGAACTAACTCTGCAGCCCGTGTCCTCTCCTGCACCAGGCTCCTTGACCCTATCAGCCCCGTCCTCGCCCGATTTAACTGGCTTCCCATCACACAGAGGATACAGTTCAAGATCTTGGTCCTCACCTTCAAACCCTCCATGGCCTCTCTCCCCCCTACCTCTGCGACCTCCTAACCCCCTACCATCCTGCTCGCTCCCTCTGCTCAGCGGGCTCCGGCCTGCTTCATGTACCCTGCTTTGCCTGTCCCACCATTGGCGGGCAAGCCTTCTGCAACTCTGCCCCCACCCTCTGGAACTGCTTCCCACAGTCCTTCCACCTCAACCCCTCCCTTGCCTCCTTTAAGACCCATTTCAAGATCCTCCTCTTCAACTGTCACCCTCCATCACCCCTGCCCTCCACCCTCCCGACCCCAGCTTGGGCCTGAATCACTGAATATCCAGTATCTTGGGACATCCTCCCAATGTGAAAGGCGCTATACAAATGTAATTTTCTTGTTGTTCTGAAACCTTCTCTCTACCCCATCATCTCTATCCTGCCTTAAAAGCCTTTACCACTTTGGCCACACCTATGGCCATCCCCCTCTTCCCCTCTCCCTTGCTCAGTATCTAACCCCATCTTTGTAAAGCACTCCAAGATGTTAGCCTACATGAAGGGTGCTGTATAGTGTCAGTTGTTGCTGTTGTCAGAAGCATTGGGGAGGGGTGGGGTGGGCAAGGAGGAACATAGCCATGGGGGCTTCATTTATGTTCTTTTTATTTCACAAAAGAGGTTCAGATAAAGATCACAAAGG